GGGCGTAAGAGGGTCCTTATTCCGTTCCACGCACGAATTTTAGAAAAACCCCCGCGTTAAGAATCAAAGGTAAAACTTTAAACCTCACTTTGCCGTGTCTTTCTGTAAGATAAACGCGTCACCTAATAATTTTGGGCTTAATCAAGCGTCAGTCGCCCATTTCTATTCACATAATTGACGGAAGAGACGATTGGCGTTTGCACTGACAATATGATTAATTTGTATTCAAAATTATAAAAAAATACAAGTTTTTCCAACTCAGTTTGCCCTACAACGACCAGCGTCTCAAAAGTGGAGCTACATTGAATAGGTCAAAACAAGATCGTAATCAAACACAAGTTCATTTTTTAATTATTATTTTTCGAGGAATTTCATCTTACTGTTAACTGATCCGTGACTTGTGGGATTAAAACGACCAGAAATCTTTTTTACCTCCTAGTTATATAGACCTTTAAAGAAAAATTTGATCGGTCTCATAGTTTCTTAAAGGAACCATCTTCCGTGATCCTTCGTGTTTCTTCAAACGATGACGCCTGACAACTCTTATCTAAAACTAAATTATATAATGACTCGACTTCGACTGAGATGCCAGTCTTGTTTAATTAACCAGTTTGTTTAAACGACCTCTCTCTGTCAGCGGCTATAGCACGTATTGGTAGGTTTAGATAAAAAGTTCACCTGCTGTCCTTCTCCTATGTGTCACTATTTAATGGACAAATGAAAGAGACGCGATTATCGTTTACCTAAGCTGACAGTAATTTGCACTATAAATGGCTCTTTTTTTACATTGAAATTGCAAGGAAAAATAGGCAGCTTACGAGGACGCTTCTTGATTCATAATTACATAAAAATAGCGTGGAGATAACACGGTAAGTTTTTGTCTTGATTCTATTTTTAAGAAATTGTTGAGAAAACGAAGTGTTTATATACAGAAATAACTCAGTTTGAAAGCTCTTTTTAATCAATACTGAATCAGTTTGTATGGCATCAGTGGTGAAAACGAAAATGATGCATTTAGCATTACTTACAACAGTAAGCTCTAACAACAGTAAGCTTTTACAACAGTAAGCTCGATCCCGAAAAACATTGAGGCCAGGCACATTCGAATAAAAATTTACTTGTCCTGAACAAACATAATTTTAATTAGAATGATGCTTTCATATGCGGCAGTTAATGAACTTTAACCACTGAACCTTTCCAAAAGGTACACAGTATTCAAGTTAAACAAAAGTGAAATCAGCACAAGCGCTATTCAAACGCATTTTCTCACCCCTTGCAACGGGGGTGGTCTTAACCAGGGTGTTGTCCTTGAAAAGGATGACGTTTATGAGAAAATTGGGAAATGTTTGTTGACACACCCATATATGGTGATTGTCTCCCGTAGACATACATAACTGAAAAATTAAACGAGACTTACCTGTAAGTTGAAGTTTGATTGGAATTCTATCGAGTCATCCAACTGCACCAAGGGATCACATGAGATAGCTATACGCATGCGCATAACCAGTATTTACAGCCGAATGTGACAGTCTGATCACCACGAAGTAGATTGTATAAGAACTGTAATGTCAGTAGCACTACAAATAAATGGGTGGGTAAAATCAAATGTAAGTATGATTTGTTGTCCAAGGGTGGGCATGTGATCCCTTGGTTAATGTTAAATAAAGTTTCTGTCTAGAAGATGTTTTGTTAAGGCTAGTAGTACAAAAAACTATTTGCCAACAAGTCCAATTTCAGGACTAAACAGTCTTGAGAATAGCAGAAGCAAATGTGGAGGATTCCACAGGTTTGTCATAAAACTTATCAAAACATCTCGATGATGACCACCCAGCAGTTTTCAGGATTTCTTGGATTGGAACAGAGGCTGTTTTAGCCTTTGAAGTAGCTGCTGCTCGTGTACTGTGTGGCTTAAATATTGTTGTGTCTACCCCAGCAGAGGTCATGACAGTGCGAAGCCACCTAGAAAGAGTCTCTCTGGACACCCGTTTATATGGCTTAGTAAAACTGACAAAAAGTTTAGTTTCCGTACCCCTGAGAGGCTTTGTTCTCTTAAGATATTCTTTTAAGCAAGTACAAACACAAAGGGATGGATTGGCTGGGTATGCTCTCAAAACAACTGTAGGTGCTTTGTAGCCTGGCCTGCTCTGTTTGATATGGGCAGTAAGCAGGAACTCGTAGCCATCAGGAAG